AGAGATTTGTGTAGTTAAATAAAAGAAATGGTAACAGTAGATGTTGTTTAGTAAGAGAGTCTGCTTGCTTATTAAAATAGTTATCTGAATAGGCTTGTACTTTGTGAAAGGTAATTTGTAATTTGTATGATTTAATAATAATTAGAAGAGTGTACCAAATTGGTCATGAATTGAATTTGAACAACTTGTTAGGATAGATTGACTTAAGTTGAAGATTATTAAATTTAGAGATTACTGATTATGAGTTTGTAAAGATATTAATAATACAGTTTCGAGAAGCAGTTGAGATTGCAGTAATGATTGAAAAGAGTTCTGCTTTGTAAGATGAAGGCCAGAATTTAATTTTAGCAGAAAAAGAATTAATAATTTGATTGTTATTGTTGACTTGAATTTAACCAATACCTATTGTGCATTAGTCAATACTAATATCAATTACAGATCCATTAGTATAGAAAGATAGTTGCTGATAAGAGAGGTTGTAATGTGAGATAGATATAAGTTTGTTAGTAAATTTGCTTGAAATAAAGATTTCAGAGGTGATAGAGTTGATAATAGGAATATTAGGTAGAGAAAGAATGTAAGTTGGATGTTTAACAGCTGTAGAGCAGATAAGGTCCAAGTAGTTGGCATTGAGGTTGAGTTGGTGCTTTGAGTTAGTCCTGCCAAAAAATTATGTAGAAATAATTGCAGAAACTTTAACGGTACAGGTTTGGTTAATTCTATGAGAATTAAGATGGCATTCGTATATTGATTGTACTAACAGAGGGTAAAGGGTAAAATTTTGTATAGTTTAAGTCTATATTAGAGGTCCAATGAGTAATAGAGTAGTGATTAGAAGATAAAAAATATTTTTGTATTTTCCTAATAATAATTTTATCGTTATAATATGAAAGTAGCCAGAGTTTGGATTTAGTAAATTTTTTAGATGTATTAATAGTATAATAAGCAAAAGGGTTGTGGTCTAGTAATTAGTAATGTGGTAAAATATTTTAATAATAAGAGTGTGCTAAGATTGTATCTTCTAAGTAAGAGAACCAAAAGGGTTTTCTGCCTTTAAGTAAATATAATAATCTTGATAAGAGATGTTTCTAGTTAAGTAAAGTGCTATTATTTGCAGTGCAGAGTTGTTCAAGATACATAATGTTTGATTGTCTAAGTTGCTTTTTAAAAGTTGAATATTTTGGATGCTGTGATAGAATAGACTCTAATGATTGGCTGCTATTACTAATTGTATGAGGCCAGTTTTTTGTATTTTATATTTATAGTTAATTTAATAATATTATAGTTAATAGTTAAAGTTAATTATTAAACTATTATATTTTTATAAAGTTTATTTAAATCTTAATACTTATTTTTCTAAGATTTTTTTATTATTTCTTATTAGTCTTTTTATTTAAAACCAACAAGATTTCTTTTTTTTTTGTTTTTTTGTCTTTTTTGTAGTTAAACTAGCTTTTTTTGGAGCTAGAGCTTTTTATTCAGTAGTTAGGATATAGAAACTTACAGTCAAGGCCTTAAAGAAATCTTTTTATATTAAAGAGTACAACTAGTCACATGTACACTTTTGGTGTCTAATTAAGTAGTCCACTAATAGTTTTATACTAGCTGCTATACTTGCAACTCAACTAAGAGTATTAACTATTTAAACTTTCTGTACTGCAATCTTTACTATATTACTAGATTATTTCTGATATATAAGTTAGTCAAGAAGGTTTAGATGCTTACTCATATTCTTAGAACCTTATAACTTATTTTATGCAGTGTATCCTCAGAAGCATTATTATTAGAGCCTTTCATATCCTATATACAGCTAACCTAGTTTTATATAACATGCTATAGTTATCTAATACTTGCAGTCAGAGCTAATCTTAAACCACTATATTATATTATTTCTATTCTTGTAAAGTTCATTTAAACTTCAGTACCTATTTTTTTGATATCTTTTTTATCATCTTCTACTAACTGCAACTCAGAACTGACAGACTTTCTAGATATCCAATTTAGATAGCCAAGTATAGTATATCTTAGTATCCTTTTTCTTCAATAATTCTAGCAGCCTGATTGGTCATATGTTTCTTTATATATTTTGTTATTCAGTTTAACTGCCTGTTTCTATGAAGGTGTTTCATAGGCTTTCATTAGTCTGATAGCATCATTAAAAGTTTGTGCTATCTCTTTACTTAGAAATTTTCAAATAGAATCTTATTTCCTCAATTTCTTAGTCTTTTGTATTTAGTGATCTTATCATAAGTTTGTACCAAAGTTTTATACAATACTGATTATTAATATTCTTCTATATCTGTATAATGTTACACTTTATATAGATGCTTCAAGCTCTTAATGATAAGTAAAATCCAACTTGGTATATCTGGATTATAGCTACATAAGGCCAACTAATCAACAGAAGACAGTTTTTATAATATAGGTTAATTTTTAAATTTCATCTTAAGTAGAATTTGAACTTTAAACCTGCTATTTAGAGAATGACAACCCAATCACTATACTAAAATTATTAACAAGATTTCTTAAATTACTAATTTAGATAATTTAGTATAATATACTTTATTTTTAATAATTTTAATAATCTAATTAGTATATATGCTTTTTTTATATATTTTATTATTTAGTTTATTTATTTATTTTTTTAAAAAATTTTTATAAGTTTTTATTAGTTCAACAGTATTGTTAAAAGTTTGTATTATTTCTTTTTTTTTTTTTGCTTTTGCTAAGGCTATAGTTATCAGTGGCTATTGTCTTTATTGTATTTTAATTATGATTACATAACTTGTACAAGGCTAGTGATTGTATTCTAAGGTATTGTAACTAGTTAACTGTTAGATTATCCAGATAACCAGGTTATAAAATTGATTAACAGGTAAATAATTAGGATATCCAGTTAATCTAAGAAGATAATATAGGGTAATATAAGATAATATAGAATAAAATATATTAGTATTAAAAATTTAATTGGTTTATATTTATATATTAATAATATTTAAATATATAATTATTTTAGAAATTATCCTTGAATTCTTGCCTATTTCTTAAAACTTTGCATAAAATATTTATAAATAATGTAAATTTAATTAGTATATACAAAATAAAACATGATTATTAGAGCATATGAATAATACATCAAAGAAAAAAAAATTTAACAGGTTTATTATGCAGTTAACAATTTTTGAGCCTTTTTTTGTGCTGGCTCAAATAACTATAATATCAGAGTAAAGAAGGTTATTAGTTAAAAACTTCTTGCAATGGATCTTTGCTATTAATATTAACATATTACTACAGTATTGCAGTATTGTTATAAAATTTTTTCATAATTAAATTTTTCTAATACTGTATTAAAAATTTTTTAATAAACCACATAGATTAATAATAGCATCTCAAGTACTGGTTGAGATCTTGATCTGTTAGTAGTCACTATAATAATATTTATTGTACAATTGATTTTCTTAAAATATTTTAAGAATAGTTAAAATTGCATAATAGTTGTTATGCAATATCTGACTAGAAAATCACAATGCTTGATTGCATTCTTAATTATGATAATTTAGCCTTTTATATAAATATAATTAAAACTGTATAAATGCATGCAATTGGGTAATCTCAGAGTAAAATATTTAATAATTGTAATAGCATATGAAGTATGTTGTATAAGTGAAAAACTGCTTCGAAATCTCAAATATGGGCCTCAAATAACAACCAACAACTATCACCACTAAATACTACACTAAATCTCTAATAGTGGCAAGTATCAAAAAGAGGCATATAGAGACTTGGTCCAAGTAATTATGATTAAATAAGGTTCTAGATTACATTGCAAATCTCTAAGTAGGTAATCACAGGAATATATTACTAATTCTCTGCACTAATTTCACTTATTGAGGATTCTATGGCTAATGATGAGTAATTTATACTTATTGCATGATTATGACTTTAGTTCTCATCATTAGAATACTGAAGGCACCTTATTCTTGTTCTTTAGTGCTTCTTCTCTAGTCAAACCCAGATTGGCAATTTATTAAATTCCTTTGCTTTTGTCGATCAATATGAATTTTAGGTCTCAAGTCATATAGCTTAGATCTTTTTTTTGCTATACTGGGTCATTCTACCCTTCACAATGTATGTATATAAAAGAATTTGACTAAAAAAACCTGTTTATATTTTATTATTACAGGAATAAGTTGGTAAGCAAAGAAGTAATAACAGCTAGCTAAGAATAAAAAGGTATTTAAAGAACTATTTTTTTGTTTATTATTGTACTATCTGTCCAACAGTTTAGAGGCTTAATAACCTTTCAATAAAGTTACAAAGATTACTTATTGCTTAACAGCTATGAATAGTGCAGTTATTATTCAGTTAATAGATATAGGTTTATAGTTGTAATAAAAATGCAAGAACTCTATCTAATTATATGACAAAGTATATTATAATGTCGATTCTCTATCTATGCTATACTAAAAAAAAAATATTAGTTATACAAAGAATTGATAGATTATAGCTAAGACGAATAGAGAAACTTTATTTTTATATATTACTTTTTTGTTTATTAAATAAAGCTCTGTCCAAGCAATAACAATTGTTCTAAATTCAATAAGCATGTGGCATAATCTACTTAATCACATTATAAGTCTATTTGCATCTAATTTATAGAAGCACTCAGGTTAAAACCTGTGAGAACTTTTTCATATATTATATAATTTAAAGAGAATTATACAATTAAGATTTTTGATAAATCTGATTGTTTAATAGTTTTAGTTTTGCTATTAGATCTAAATTTAGAAATTAATTAAATAATTTAATCAAATCAAGATTTATTGTTAATTAAAAGCTAATATTGATATAAGTAATACTCAAAAGCATTAAATTATTTAATAAATTAGGATAGGTTCAAAGTCTGTAATAAAGTAAATTTTAAATATAAATAATATGAATTGATACATTGTTGCTAAAGAATAAAAAATTGATTTGTCACATTTTTATAGTAAAAAAAAATGTTTAGTGATAATGAAGATATTGTTGTTCATTCTTCAAGCTTTGATAAAAACCATAAAAAACAAAAAATATCCAATACATACACATCAGGCTTAGAATTATCTCAAACCAAATATGGTAATATAGTTGATAGTAATAACCATAATGCATCTAATGAGTGCTATAACTTGGCTAATAGTAATAGTGATACTGTAACTGATAAGAATAACAATCCAATTAATGAAGAATCTTCAATCTTATCAAATGAACCTAATGATATATTAAATTCACTAAATCTGAAAGAAATAAAGTTAGTTCCTATTACCAAACATTTAGGATGAAGTTGGATTTGGCCATATTATCAGCACTATAAACTTGTATTATCTTATAGAACAATCATAAAATGTCTAGTTGAAGTTTACAAAAATCATAAAAATAAATTATGTGAACATATTATGGGGTCAGTAAATAGTTTAACAGGAAATTATATCAGGCACTTAGCAATGCGACATGGCATTACTAAAAGTTCTCATAAGAAAAAAACAAAAAAGCCACAATTTTCACAACTTTAAATTGATCAAATGATTTATAATAATCTCAAACATAAGTAACATAAAGATCAGAAATTTGTTGAACTTTTAATTAAAGATCAGCAACCAATAAGTATTCGAAATGATGAAGGCCTCAAAGACTTTATTGCAGAATTCAATCTATCATACAAATTTCCAAGTGAAAAATATTGTCAACAATTACTTTCTGAAACATATAAAAATATCAAGCAATCCTTATTAAGTATATTTGAAAAAAATATTATATTATGTTCTCTAACTTGTGATTTATGGACTAGATGTAATAAATTAGGGTATTTAGGCATTACTTGTTCTTATATTGATAATAATTTTCAATTACAAGAAAATATACTTTCCATTTAATACTTTCCTTATTCGCATGTTGGCGAAATTATTACTGAAACTTTAAACTTGATTATCAATGAATGGAATCTTAATAATAAAGTATTTACAATTACTACTGACAATAGTAGTAATATTATTAAAGCATTAAATTTAATGCCTAATATTATACATATATCATGCATAGCTCATACCCTTCAGTTAGTTGTTGAAAAAGACCTTTTAGAAGTAGAAAATTTAGTTATATGAGCAAAAAGACTTATGTTATATTTTACTTTCCCTAAACAAATGCAGTGGCTTTTAGAAGCCTAGAAAAATTTAAATCTAATGAAGATATCATAAGTATAATATTTATTTATATAAGCTTTTAAGCTTTTATTAAATTTAATATTATTTTTTTTAATTAGAATCTTTCTCAAAATGATCATGAATTACATATAATTGCTAATACGCCAACAAGATGGAATTTCTCCTATCTTGCTTGGTGACAGCTAATTAAAATTCAATATATAATTAATCTTTTAATTACAATGCTTTCTTTGGATGAAGATTATCAAACACATAAATAAGGTGCAAAATTAAAAAAAATTAATCTTACTAATACTGAATGGGAAGTTATAAAAAGTCTTGTTGTGATTCTTGAACCATTTGCAGAGGCAACTGATCTTTTAGGAGGTAGTAAATATACAATAGTAAGCTTTATATATAGTGCAATCAATACAATTACTAATAATCTTATACTTACTGATGATGTTGAACTATGGGAAGTAAATTATAAAGATGATATAATTGTTTTTGATGATACTAATTTAAATGAAGATCATATTGAGTCTATAAATCTTCAAAAACAACTAAATATTCCTCAAGATTGTACTAATTTTGAAGAAAGGGTAAAAATGGCTCTATACAATGCTATAAACTATTACTGAGAAGTACCATCAGAAGAAGAAATATTGGCTGCATTACTCGATCTTCAATGTAAAGCATTAAGTTTTACTTCAGAGTCTTTAAAATTCAAAACTTATGATTCATTGTGTAAAGTATATCAACAACATCAAAATCAAACAAATATATCACTCATTAAACTATTATTACCATCTACAAATAAATTATTGGCCTCTATGTTTCAATTAAATAATGCTCAAGTAGATGAAGTCTCTGACTATATTGGAATACCAAAAATTCTCTATGACCAATGCCCCTTTAAATAGTGGAAAAGTAATCAAAATTGTTTTCCAGTTTTATTTTATTTGGCATAAAAGTACTTAGCTATTTTGGCTGCTTCTACACTTAGTGAAAGGCTCTTTAGTAATGCTGGAAATATAATGTCTGTTAAAAGAACAAACCTTTTACCTATTACATTTGAGCATTTAATTTTTTTAAAAAAAAATTGGCATAGTGTTGAAAATATTTTTCCAAATAAGTAAAATTTGATCATATTAATAATTTTAAATATATATATAAGTTATATATTGACATTAAAATAGTTATTTTCTTATTATTATATATATAAATAGGCAATTATCAAAATTTTCTTTCTATATCATTATATATTAATAAAATATATAGATTTAGATAAAAATAAATAGTTAGTATACATTATATAAAGGTATTATATTGAGACTACAATAGTAATATGTATTACTTTCAGTAATTAATCACATGAATATTTACTAGATACTATGACCCTCAATATTTATAAATGTAAATAACAGTAAAACAGACCTAAGCACTAATGCCCCAATACAGCAGTAAAAGTTCTCAATAGTTAGTATTTATTTAAAGTGAAAGCAAAAAAAAAAAATTTCTTCATATTTATATACTAATTTGACTACAAATTAATTGCATCATAAACTACTTATATGATATTTGACTCATTGCATTTATGTTATTAATTACATATCTACAGTTATTATTTTCTGATTTATCCTAGATAACTAATTGTGATCATGATATGTGATTACGAAACCCTTGAGCTCGATACACTAACACTAAATGATAAGTACTATTACACATATTATATATATCTATATATATCACTAACTCTTCTTTAATCTAGTATTCCTTCAATTATTATGTACATAATATATTTTGAATACAAACCTTCACCACAGAGCTATAATACTAAATAGCAAGAATTAAATAGATAAATTAATTTATTTAGATAAATATGTTTTTTATTAGTTTTGCTAACAAATACTTACATGTTATAACTCAATTATATGTTGTAAGAATGAGTAAGAATCACTAAAGCAAGGTTGGTCATATATTATCATAGTTTAAAGGCTATAATAATGCAAAGATTACTTGATCAATGCTATAATACTAAATTAACAAAGCACTCATTATATGATATAGAATTATGGCTTAATAATTAAATTAATGCGAAAACCATTTGATTAACAGCATGGACATTATTAGCATTTAAACTAGTAATACAATTTTATAATATAAATGTGATTTTGCTGTTGATACTATTTAATTAATATTTAGTACATGACTAAACTTGTTTATTTATACTAGTTATTATATATTAGCAAGACCTATTCCTATATATAGTATCAAAATCAGATAACCTGATTATAGTAACTTCTTTATACCCTTTGTACTATTGAAAACATAATGTTTCATTAATAAAAAATTACTACCAAAGCTTTTGAGTTTTAATATTCATTGTTAGAAAGAATCACTTATTTCTGATCAACCTCACTTAGAAAATATATATTTTATTATCTCTTATATATTATTTATGATAGAATATATAAATGTTTAGTGTAAGTTTTAATCTTAAAGAAGCATTTCATTGATATTAGTCTTACTACTTACTTTTGATATATTAATTTAGCATTTTTATTATATAGATAGATAAGAAAGACAGATGGTTTAGTTAAATAAATGTTAGATATTGTTTGGTCAAAAAGATAAAACTATAATAAAAATTAACTTATTAATTAAATACATATATCAGATATAAAGAATAGTAATAATTGGTCAATAGTCATATATTGATTTGCCAATTACATAAATACATATCTTTTATCCGGATATAACTGTTATCCTCTTATTTCAATAGGGTATAAAACTGGTTATTAGATTTTACTAAAGATTATAACCTTTAGGGTAAAAAGATTACCTGGGTACAGTCACTAGTACAAGGTAAGTATACAACTAGTCATATGTATAACTTTTGGTTGTCTAATTTAAGTAGTCTGCCTGCACAGCAGGTTCTATACTAGCTGCCATACCTGCAATCTACTAGGAGATTACCTATTTTAAACACTCTAATCTCTATACTTACACTAACAAATAGCACACAAGTTTCTATACACCTAAGTGCCATCTAACCTAACTATAACCTTCCTGTCTGTACATCCATTAAGCTGTTACACATTTCAGAGTATATCATCTGACTTGTAGGGCTTCAGAAGGCCCTTCTGCTAACTAACTACCTACATTTAGTATCTTGTTAACAGGGCTCACCCTTGCAGAGTTCACTCAGATCTCAGTACTGACTTCATAGCATATCTCTAGTACTTTAGTATACTTCTGTTTTTGACCTCAGACTCCCAATCCAGATAACCCAATAGAACTGTGACCTGTTCCTGATACTTCAGGATCTGCCTCCCAAGGTCCTTTTTCTCTGGTTCAAGACTTCTAGCAGTCTGGTTAATGGTATTTCTCACCTGAGATTCTTGTCTACCCAATTCCTTTTATATTAGTATCCATTTTCTAGGTCTAGCCTTTATAGTAGTTCTGTCAAAGATCCATGTTACCTCTCTACTCAGGTTTTCCTAAGTAGGCTCTGGTTATTCTAATTCACAGATTTATATAATTACAGATACCCTATGATCTGCCAGTTATCTGATACAACTGTGTTACAAGTACTGATCCTAACTGATCGATAGATAGTTGTTGCCATATTACTGGTTTCAAGGACTTATCTTGTGTTTGCACTGCTCAATGCCAGATTGCATTTCTTTGTGTAACTCTAGCATTGCACAGATGCCTATATACACTGATGTAACATAGATAGTTTTTCAAATTTTCACTGTCGATGGGTTTTGAACTCCCAACCTACCACTTGAAGGGTTAACAACTTATCCACTTTACTAAGTTACCATACTCTTATTATTTCTTTATTTAAAAATTTTTATATATATTTCTGTTTTTTTATTTTATTTTTTTTATTTTATTTTTTTTTTAATTGTTAAAGTGAGGTCATGCCCTCAAGTCTTTATTAGTATATTGGTTATAGCTAGTACAATTTTT